GCCAAAGACAATGTAAACAAGTCACATAGAACATTCAAGAATATATTGCAAACTGGGGAAAAGTATAACTAAATGTTACTTTTATTAGACTAATAAAAATATCAAGTCTCAGTGTAAATAAGCAAAACATTGTCCTTTAACTGCATCTAGAAATTAGCACACTTTTGGTCTATTTATTTATGTAGCACAAACCACTATTAGCTACAATATGACTATGATTGGAAAAGTAGCAAAGGTAGTACAAGTTCTGAAAAACACAGGAAAAAAGAACACTACCTGAGCAAATATTACAGGTAATCAAACACTGATGATTGCAGATTTTAAAATTCTACACCAAAAATAGTAAAAATAACATTTTGAAAAACAGGCAAAGTAGGTAAATACTAAGCTTTGTACCATCCTTGACTGCTTTCCCAGGCCCCAAGCAGAGAGCTGGATGGGAAGCAGGGCTGCCAGGATTAGAACTGGCACCCATATGGGATCCTGGCACATTCAAGGTGAAGACTTTAGCCACTAGGCCACCACACCAGGCTCTTGCTGAAATGCCTTGGCTATACACTCACACACACGCGCGCGCACACACACGCACATATATATATAAATAACTACAGAGAGTTGGGAGAGACAGATTTTTCACCTGTTGTTTCACTCCCAAGATGGCTGCAATGGTCAGAGCCACGCCAGGCAAAGCCAGGAGCATCAGGCAGATCTCCCATGTGGATAGCACTTAGCCATCTTCAACTGCTTCCCCATGGCCTAAGTAGGGAGCTGGATCAGGAGTGCAGCATCTGAGAAGCTGGTGTTACAGGCAGTACCTACTACAAGCGACAACATCCAAAATTTCAGTTCTTACAAAATTTGGCATGGAGCCGGTGTTGCAGCATGGTAATAAATCCACCACCTGCAGTACCAGCACCCAATATGGGTACAGCTGCTAACACAAACTGCTGCTAAAACAGAGAATATTTCAATTCCTTGAGCCCCTGCACCCACATGGGATGCTGGGAAGAAGTTCCTGGCTCTTGACTTCAGAGTTGTCCAGCTCCAGCCAAAGCTGCATTTAGGGAGTGAACCAGCAGATAAAGATTTGACCTCTTCTGCTTCTTGCTGTCAAATAAAAAAATCTTTTATAGATGATTTTTTAAAAATAACATAAGATACTTCATTTGGTAGTAACAAATTCATCCAGATGTATAGACCTTAACAAATTTTATTTGCTAGCTTATGCATACTATTTCACAGGAAATCCTAAAATTCAGGCAAATCCATAACAAAAATACCTTGGGCCCGGCGTGATAGGGCAGTGGTTAAGGTCCTCCCCTTGCACACCCGGGATCCCATATGGGCGTCGGTTCTAATCCCGGGGTCCCCACTTCCCATCCAGCTCCCTGCCTGTGGCCTGGGAAAGCAGTCCAGGACGTCCCAAAGCTTTGGGACCCTGTACCCACATGGGAGACCCGGAAGAAGTTCCTGGATCCTGGCTTCGGATAGGCATAGTAGCATCGGCCATTGCGCTCACTTGGGGGAGTGAATCATGGGATGGAAGATCTTCCTCTCTATCTCTCCTCCTCTCTGTATATCTGCCTTTCCAATAAAAAAAAAAAATAAAATAAATCTTTAAAAAAAAAAACTCAAAAAAAAAATCATCCTAATTCTCAAAGTTTTTTCCATCACTAAAGTCAGGTCTAATTAAAACTATTCTTTATGATTTGATACATTTTTCATGTCTTTTTAAAAAGGAAATGGGGGCCCGGTGCGATGTGGCTCAACAGCTAAATCATACCTTGCAAGTGCCAGGATCCCATACAGGCACCAGTTCATATCTCGGCAACTCCACTTACCATACAGCTCTCTGCTTATGGCCTGAGAAAACAGCAGAGGATGGCCCAAAGCCATGGAACCCATTGTGGCCATCTGGGGAGTGAATCAGCTCTCTCCCCTCTGGTAATCTGCCTTTTCAATAAAAATAAATAAATCTTTTTTAAAAAAAGAGGGGAGGGGATGAAAAACAGCACCAAAGAACTGCCTTGATTTTCTAACCTAAATATTTTTAGAATGTAAGAAAACATAGTAACAAAAACAGATTTTCATAATAGAAAGACACTTTTCTAATCTCTTCTATATATCTACGCAGAATTGCTATCATATTATTTAAAACAGCAAGGAAGTTGCTTCTAAGTAATCAATTCATTGCAAATGTCCTTACTGGTTTGTGGCATCACAAAACTTGCCTGACAGATGGAAAGTGGAACTGGAAGAATGCAAACTTGAAAGAGGGATAATATACACAATAGAGACAGATACTTCATAAATTCACATTTCATAAGAATTTTCTTTTAAGATTTTTTTATTTTCATTGCAAAATCAGATAGACAGAAAGGAGGAGAAACAGAGGAAGATCTTCCATCCAATGATTCACTCCCCAAGTGACCACAATGGCCAGTGGTGTGCCGATCTGAAGCCAGGAGCCAGGTACCTCCTCCAGGTCTCCCACTTGGGTGCAGGGTCCCAAGGATCTGGGCCATCCTTGACTGCTTTCCCAGGCCACAAGCAGGGAGCGGATAGGAAGTGGAGCTGCCGGGATTAGAACCAGTGCCCCTATGGGATCCCGGCACATTCAAGGCAAGGACTTTAGCCTCTAGGCCACAGCACCAGGCCCACATTTCATAAAACTTTTAAGACTTTCGAGACATGCATTTCCCATCTGCTGATTCACTGCCTACATGCTGACAACAGCCAGGGCAGGGCCAAGCCAGAGCCAAGAGCTCAATCCAAGCTTCCCAAGTGTCAGGGACTATTGAGTGGTCAACTATAGTCTCTTATGGAAGCATATTAGCAAGAATCTGGAACTTCCATGGGGTCAAATCAGGCACTTGACTATGGGATACAGCAATCCTAAGCAGTTCCCTACCGTAGCTTTTGAAAATGTTCCCTCATGCACTGGGTTTTTTTTTTTAAAGATTTATTTTTATTACTATTTTTTTTATTGGAAAGGCGGATATACAGAGAGGAGAGACAGAGAGGAAGATCTTCCATCCAATGATTCACTCCCTAAGTGAGCCCAATGGCCGATGCTGTGCCGGTCTGAAGCCATGAGACTCTTCTGGGTCTCCCATGTGGGCGCAGGGTCCCAAAGCTTTGGGCCGACCTCGACTGCCGTCCTGGGCCACGGGCAGGGAGCTGGAAGGGAAGCGGGGCTGCCAGGATAGAACCGGTGCTCATATGGGATCCCGGGTGTGCAAGGCGAGGACCTTAACCACTTGCGCCACTGCGCCGGGCCCATGCACTGGGTTTTAAAGTTACACGGTCAGGGCCCGGCGGAGTGGCCTAGTGGCTAAAGTCCTCGCCTTGAACATCCTGGGATCCCATATGGGCGCCGGTTCTAATCCTGGCAGCTCCACTTCCTATCCAGCTCCCTGCTTGTGGCCTGGAAAAACAGTCAAGGATGGCCCAGATCCTTGGGACCCTACACCCGTGTGCGATACCGGAAGAACTTCCTGGATCCTGGCTTTGGATCGGATTTGGAAGATCTTCCTCTCTGTCTCTCCTCTCTGTATATCCGCCTTTCTAATAAAAAAAAATAAATAAATCTTTAAAAAAAAGTTACGTGGTCGTGGGGCCCAGCGCCATGGTCTAGTGGCTAAAATCCTTGCCTTGATTATGCCGGGATCCCATATGGGTGCCAGTTCTAACGGCCACGCTTCCCATCCAGCTCCCTGCTTGTGGCCTGGGAAAGTAGTTGAGGACAGCCCAAAGCCTTGGGACCCTGCACCCTCATGGGAGACATGGAGGACTTTCGAGGCTCCTGGTTCCTGGCTTCGGATTGGCTCAGCTCCAGTCGTTGTGGCCACTTGGGGAGTGAGTAAATCAACATTTTCCTCTCTGTATATCTCCCTTTCCAATAAAAATAAATAAATCTTAAAGTTACATGGTCACATCTGTCATAAACGGCTATGTCAGGCCTGATTATCCAGTAATAAGCATTAGTTTCATTATGTATTGGGTCTCACGGAAGAACTGACAGACAATTGTCGGTAGCCAGTCATCTCACAATTCCATGTGTGCAGTTACAGCAAGAACGACATGAGTAGGCTCAAAAATAAAAACTATCAGGAGAGCCTATCACACTCAACACAAAAACTCCAATTAGACATAAAACGTTAACATCCTGACAATGAATAAATTCTTAAGAATCACAGATAGGATCTGTTCCTGATTTAAAAAAAAAAAATACACATGCATACCTACACTACTAAAGAGGTCATGTCCCAGGGTAGCAAGGGTGGGTCAGAAACAGAGATGGTTTTCCTCTCTGAGCTGTCCGTATTTTCTAGCTTACCTATAATCAGCATGTCTAATACTTTTTTTTAAAGTTAAATAGATGCGGAACATGTAATCTTAAAGCAATAATCAGTTTGGAGAAAGACAGGAGTCCCCTGCCCGTAAGCACCATCCCAGTCACCGGGCAACAAATTCCCGAGTATCTGTTCCGGCAGAGGACGCAGCAAGCTCCCTGAAGCACAGAACCGCCCCTCCGCTCCGGGGCTTTCGCAACCCTAGGAGACACAGTCGTCCCACACGAACTCAATCTCTCCCGTGTCGCCGCGAGCCAGGGGGCTCCACGCAGGACCGCCCCGCTCCGCCGGCCACGTCCCCTTCCCCCCACGCGACCCCCTCCGCGGGCCCGAGGAGCAGGAAAAGAGCGGGCCCGGCTCGGGGGTGGCCGACCGTAACCACCGCCTCCCGCCGCCGCCACCCAGGCCAGACCGCCTCACCTCTCAAAACCTCCATTTCCTAGTCTGTCCCGCTCCCTGGCACGGCCTCTGGAGCCTCGCTAAGCCAGAGGGCTAAGTCCAAGCCAGGTCTCCCCCATCCCACGTCGCCACCCTCCCTCCCTCCGTCCGTTCCCTGGCGCTCGGCCGCGGAACAGAACCCGCAGCCCCGCAACGCGCGTCCCCGCCTCCCCCGCGCCCCGCAAGCCAAGCGCCGGCCCCCCTTACCTGGCAGCTGCAGTCCTGGGGCAGATTTCTCACCAGGATTTTCCTGCGGTTGGTCAGCTCACGCCGCATCCGCTGCAGCCGCGCGGCGATCTCCTCGGGGGGCAGCGCGGCGGGCGCGGGGTTCCGGCCGCCCTCGAGCGCCACGCCGGGGCTGCCCGGCTCCTGGGGCCCCGGCTCCTGCCCAGACTTCGGCTCCGGCGCCGATTCCGCTCCTGGCTCCGGCCCCGACTCGGGCCCCTGATTAGGCCCCGGCTCCGCTACGGACTCTGGCTCCGACTCCGACCCCGACTCCGGGCCTGCTTCGGGCCTGGCCTTCGGTCCCGATTCTGCTGGGCCCGCGTCGAGCTCGGGCTTCGACCCCGACTCCGGCCCCGCTTCGGGCCCTGATTCCGGCCCCGCTCCCAACTCTGGTCCGGGCTCCGGCCCGGGCTCCGGCGCGCTTAGGCCCGGGCCCCCTTGGCCGCCGTCCTCTCCTACCGCCGCCGCCATCTTTCCCGGCGTCCCGCGGCCGCGAACTCCTCGGAGACTTCGAGGAGAAACGGAGAGAAAAAGGCGAGAGGAGACGAACAGAGGCCGCGGAGTGGGCCCAGACACCGCCAGGGAAGGAGGGAGGGAGGGAAACAGGGAGGAAGAGCGCCAAGGAGGCGGCACCACGGCCGGCAGCCGGCGGGCGGAGAGAGGAAACCTGAGGAGGAGCCGAGAGCCGCCTCACAGGAACCTCCCCTCAGGCGCCGACCCGCGCAGGGCGGCGCCCCGCCCCCACGGCCCGCCCCGAGCCCGGGCGTCTGCGCCCCCGGCACCTGCGCGGGCGGGCGGCGCTGCGCCTCGGGGGCCGCCGGAGGTTGGGGTGCAGCCCTTCGGCGTCGGCTGCCGGGGCGAGCTGAAAACGCCCGGCCCCGGGCCCCGGCCCGGTGTGCGCACGTGACGCCGCGGCTCTCCCGGCGCAACTGCCGCGCACGGGCGGCTCGGGGGCAGCCGGACTTGCCGTACCGGTGCCTGCCACAGCCGGAAGGGGTCTGGGCAGTAACCTTTCAGCTGCCAGCTGCGGCTTCGGTTTGAGTTCACAATGAAAAGTAGGATTTGAGCTGTTTTAGGGAGAGAACAGAAACTTATTCATACATTTAGGAACATCATCGTATTTTTCTCGCTGTACGTGAGAAAGCCATTGCTGTTTACCTGTGCTTCGACCCGGCAGATTGAGTTTGCAACATGAAACTCCATGTCGACTTTATACCATTCTCTATACCTGCAAGGTCCGCATAGATTCAAATAGAGGAATGCTGGACTTGTGACTGTTGCTGAGGAACTAAGCCATTGTTACATTGTCGTGGTAAACAGTGGGAGGAGGGGGAGAGGATAAAAGGGAAAATCCCTGAGCCTAAGGAACTGAAAAAAAAAATCTCAATGTCCAAACAATGGCTGTAAAGAAAGAGTAGTTAGCTGGAGAATTGTGTGAATAAAAGCTTCTGGAAAGAATTACCTTCAGTAAAGTTCTCAATCCATCAACCTTTGGTGTCAGCCCAAAAGCCCCCTAGCAAAGGGAACCTGTGTCTTGAGTGTGTAATGTACTAACATACACAACAAATATACTAACCAAAAAAAAAAATCTTTTTAGAAATGTTCATTTTCATCTACTTGAAACACGTAGGGACAGAGACCTTCCATCCACTAATTCATTCTCCCAGTTGCCTATCCAAAGCCTGGGCTGGGCCAGACCCAGCCAGAAGACTAGAAATTCCATTCAGATCTCCAAGGTCAGGAGAGATGTGCATATTTGCCCCATCATCCCTGCCTCTTATGCACAGTAGCAGGAAGATGGACTGAAAGCAGAACAGTGGGAGACTCCCACTGGCACACTGATGGGAGTCCTAAGTGCACATTTAACATGTGGCACCGTAATAGCCCACAGCCAAAACCGAGTCTGTAATACTATGTAATGTTGCTAATGAACATAACCATAACAAGAAAAAAAAAAAGATTTCTAAACAGTATACGATAAATTTACTACTCGTGACCCTTGTGCTACTGAATGCTAAATATATTTTGTAGTTCTTCACAGAATCCAATTTTATTCTCCTCACTTTTCAGATGAAGAAATGCAGTTGATTCTGATTAATCAACTCAAGGCCAATGCTCCAAGTAGCAGAAAATGATTCACTTGTAATTTTGGGTAGAAACCACAAAAGATAGCTAATGTTCCTGTTTTACTCTGCTTATACTTGTATCAATGAAATGATATTCTCAGAATCAGAAAATCTACGTAGCCGCATACAGGTTGGTATTCACAAGGGGTTGGGAAAGGGATAACAGGAAACAATTGCTTATGGGTCCAGCTGTTCATTCACAGTAATCATGTTTGGAGATGTCTACAGGGTATTGTGAAAAGATACACTGATTTTGACTCAAAATTTAAAAATTGTGTGCACTAGGGTCTTCAAAAAATTTGTACAATGCTATTGTGTATATTCCAAAAACTTTTGCACCAAAATAAACTTTTTTTATCCCATTTTCCCATAAACATTCTGAGGCATGCTCTTAAAGGCGATGATTTCCTGATACTGCGAGAGGGCTTTATTACTTGGGTTTCCCCTCATAACATTCTAAGTGAGCTCTTATAGTTCACAGCTCTGCTTTTTACACATTTTGTACTCTGAGACTCTATGCTACTGTGGTTTTTTCTGAAGATTTATTTTTTATTGGAAATAGACAAGGAGATACAGAGAGAAATATCTTCTAGCTACTGGCTCACCCCCCAAGTGACTTCAGCAGCCCAAGCTGAGCTAATCTGAAGCCAGGAGCCAGGAGTTTCTTCTGTGTGTCCCACATGGGTGCAGCGTCCTAAGGCTTTGGGCCATCCTCTACTGCTTTTGCAGGCCACAAGCGGGGAGCTCGATGGGAAATAGAGCAGCGAGGACATGAACCAGCACCCATATGGGATCCTGGTGGATGCAAGACAAGGATTTAACCACTAGGCCATTGCACTGGACCCTATGCCACTATATTTGAACAACACTGTTTTTCATGGCCAGATACTACTGTATTGTGTGAATTGTAATAATTTGCTTCACTAATCTCTCGGTGAAAGAGCACTTGATGGAACACTGCAGACCAAATTCTCCATCTAGCATCTAAGGCTATGGACACACCAAAACAGACAAGTATGGGAAGTGGTGTCTCACACCTGGTGCAATGAAGCCAACACCAGTTTACAACAATTGAGACTACTCTAATAACACTCTCAGGACTCTTCCCCCATCAAGATCCCTGGAGCAAAATCAGGGGACCATGTCTATTCTCTAGTGCTGATGTGATCTGGCAGCAAGGAGCTGTGCAACATCTCCCCTGCCGCTGTCACAGGAGGGACTGGGGAGGCCAAGAGTCAGAGTGCCAGCACAAAGGAAGCACACGACCAAGGGAGTGAGCCCCTTCCTGTCCTGGGCCTTTATAGGGACTTGTGAGAGGAGTGGTTACACGACAATGCAATGCTGCCCCCTCTCAGGTTCCAGAAGATGCTAGGTGAGCATCACAGGTGGGCAGGAAAGAATACCTAGGTGGTGGTAGGAGGGTAGCTTCCAAGCTCCTGATCCTGAACTAGCTGCCCACCTCACTACAAAGAAAAATGGTTGTTTCTCTGCTTGTATCCATGATATTCTGATATCAAAAATAACTAATTTTTGCTTTACATTTCACTCCTTTGATTTAAAATTGTATGCATTTTAAATTCCCCTATGCCTCATTTTGTAGAACTGAGAGATTTTGAAAAGAATATTGTTTAATGTGGACAAGAAACATGAATAGCTTTAGCATATACAGTAGCCCTGAGCTAAGTCTCATTAAGTTTCAAAACATGTTCATCCATGTTTGAGTACCATCTCCTTGATAAACATTTATTAAATGCAGGGCCCGGCGCGGTGGCCTAGTGGCTAAGGTCCTCGCCTTGCACGCCCAGGATCCCATATGGACGCCGGTTCTAATCCCGGCAGCCCCACTTCCCTTCCAGCTCCCTGCCTGTGGCCCAGGAAAGCAGTTGAGGACGGCCCAGGGCTTTGGGACCCTGCACCCACATGGGAGACCCGGAAGAGGCTCCTGGCTTCGGATCAGCATAGCATTGGCCGTTGCGCTCCCTTGGGGAGTGAATCATGGGACAGAAGATCTTCCTCTCTGTCTCTCCTCTCTGTATATCCGCCTTTCCAATAAAAAAAGATAATAAAAATAAATCTTTGAAAAAAACATTTATTAAATGCCTATTACATGCTAGATGAAATATATATGTATATATATTTATATTTATATATAAACATACATAAATGTAGAACAATTGAATCAGGTTCCCATATATCAGAACCTAAACTCAGTCTCAGAACATTATGCAATATTTATAATTCAATGTGATATTAAATACATAAATACAAACTTCTGGAAAACGTGATCTGAATGTAAATTCAGTGATGCTGCATTTGCCCAGAACATTTCTAATAGTTAATTTTTAAAGATTTATTAATTTCCATTGGAAAATCAGATACATAGAAAGGAGGATAGAGAGGAAGATCTTCTATCTGCTGATTCACTCCCCAAGTGGCTACAACAGTTGGAGCTGAGCCAATCCAAAGCTAGGAGCCAGGAGCCTCTTCTGGGTCTCTCACATGGGTGCAGGGTCCTAAGGCTTTGGGCCATCCTCGACTGCTTTCCCAGGCCACAGGCAGGGAGCTGGATGGGAAGTGGGCCAGCTGGGATTAGAACCAGTGCCCATGTGAGATCCCAGCAGGTTCAAGACGAGGATTTAGCCACTAGGCTATAGTGCTAGACCCTCAGCCTGAATCTCTAAAAAGCAGCTTCATGGCAAACCAAGAGCACTCTAATCTATCCCTGAAGTGGAATACAATTATCAAGCTCCAACATACCTACCAATATCTGTTAGCAACTCTCATATGTTGTTACCTATTCTTACCTATTAAGGAGCCAAGTGCTACATAGCCTTTATCTTAAGAAAAACTGGTATTCGTTTTTGTTTATCTTTTTTAAAGATTTATTTATTTTTATTGGAAAAGCAGATATACAGAGAGGAGAGACAGAGAGGAAGATCTTCTGTCTGTTGATTCACTCCCCAAGCAGCCGCAATGGCCAATGCTGAGCCAATCCAAAGCCAGGAGTCTATCCCAGGTCTCTCATGCAGGTACAAGGTCCCAAGGCTTTGGGCCATCCTCCGCTGCTTTCCCAGTCCACAGGCAGGGAGCTGGATGGGAAGTAGGGCTGTTGGGACAGGAACCAGCACTCATATGGGATCCTGGCACGTTCAAGGTGAGGACCTTAGCCACTAGGCTATCATGCCGGGCCCTGTTTTTGCTTAAATTTCAGTTTGTAATAACAATAATAAAAATAGCCTTTTATGCAAATAATCTTAAGTTTACATAATAAAGTAATGAAAATAAGTATGTGCAAAACCTGGTAAACTGAGGTAGGAGTTTGACCTGATGGTTGGGATGTCATGTATCTCATGTTGCAGTGTGCAGTTCAGGTCCCATTTTCACTCTTGATTCCAACTTCCTGTAATGCAAGAAGTAGGTGGGTCCCTGTTGTCCATGTGAGAGCCATGGAATGAGTTATTGGTTTCTGGCATTACTCTGGCTATTCTAGAATTAGCCAGCAGATGGGAGATCTCTCTCTTTCAACAACCCCC